GGAGTTGGACTGGGTGATCTCCAGAGGGCACTGCCAACCCTGACCATTCTGTGAAACGTCATTTCAGAAGACTAGGTGGTACCACCTCCAGGAGCTTTTCACTCTCTTGCTGCAGCAGAGGCCAGTTTTAGTCACTGAGCTGCCTACTGTAGGCATGACTCAAAACCACTCTCAGCAGTTCCAGAGACACCACCAGGAAGTCCATACACCTATGTGCTGCTCTCCATGTGATGTCAGGCATAGCATAGTGTCACACCTTGTCACCCACAGTCACCTTCCAAAACAAGGCTGGCAGCAAAAACAAGCTGAATAAAGTCTTTGAGGAAGAAGGAGGTGGTCTACATCTTTCTGTTCCTCCATCTGCAACAGCAGGTAATGTCTGCTCCTGTAAGGTGTTCCTCAGCTTCCCCTTAGATACCTTAGGAAGGTGTCCACCAAGCCCTTCCTATCACTAACACACACCAGACAGTCATAGTCCTCTTTTTACTGATAAACTTTATAAAATTGGTTTTGGCCAGAAAAGCAAGATCATTTGTTACAGATTTCTGCACTGGTAACAGGCCCCCAACATGCAAACATTAAATTGGCCTGGAAAGAAGTCAGTGTTTTCTTGTAGCATGATTGTCATCCATTTATTCATTGACCTTGCAGTCCTCATCGAGTTTGGGGTTGGGGTCAGGGTAACAGCAGCTACCACTTAAAGTGAGTATTTGTGGGGTTCATTAGGTTAAGGAGACTTCTTCAGAGAGAAAGAAACGAAAGGGCAGGAGTTTGCTTTGCCTAAAACTGGGCAACTGATGCCTGTGTTTAGATGCCTGAGTTTAGAAGCAGACCTGAGGGCCTCTTTCACACAGTAGAAAGAAACCGGCACCTCCAGAAGGTAACTCAGCGCAACTGGCTGCTTGTCTGCGCAGGAAAACTAATGTCACTGTCTTCAGAGCCAGATGCTTCTAAGTTCAGCTCCTAAGTACAGCTGAATTAGGCCATGTCCCTATCTTAAACATCACAGCACACCTTCATGCAATGCTGGCCACTTGCACTGCAGCAGAAAAGCTGTCTTAATCATGAGCAAGCAGGCCACGCAGGTAAGAGAGGACAAAGAACAGGAAACCCTTGCACAAGGGCAGAACCAAGGCAAAGAGAAACAAGAGAGTTGGCTTATACTGATGACTATCTTGCAACTCCCATCAGGGACTCCGAAGGGGAGACACTCTCAAAAACAGAACCGCAAAAAAAACCCCTGGGTCCCACAGTGGCAAGGGCATCCTTCCTCGTACTTCCTTTTGCAACAGCAGTAGGCAGAAGCCAGCAAGCAGCGTTCAAATATCAGCTTAATTCAGCACTCAGGAAGCAAACAGGCACATTAGGCCAGGCAGGAGGGGCACAACTCCCCAGCAACAGGATCCTGCATTTGCAAAGCTGAAGTGGCATAAATAGGCACAAGAACACCCATGTTCATCCTAGTTGCTGCTCCGTCCATTTGCTGCACTCAAACAAAAGCTAATCCCTCTGAAAGAGATTAGTGACAGAAAGTGGAGGACAAAAGCAGCAGCTTTTGTTGCTGGAAGTTTGACCAAGACAGCAGGACGTGCAGCTGCCCTACAGCTGGGCTGTACTGACTAGACAAGGCAAGTGTATGCACTCAGCGATGCTCTCTCTAATGGGACGAATGTGTTTCTCAAACAGTTTTGCCGAAACAAAGCCTCTAATCAGCCAGCAGAAATAAACAGTTTCACCCAGATGCAATTTTTAACTCTTTACCACTTGTTTCATTTTACACAGGTAATATTCTTCTGCTCTTTGTAAGAAGAGGGCATCTGCCCAACATCACTTCCCTGTGCACATACCCCTTCCACAAAATTTTAGGAGCAGACTTTCTGTCCCTTCAACAAAGTAGCTCTTTATAGCTATGCAGATGACACAGCACCATAAAAATTCAGCATTACAATTGATGCAAGGAGTACTTTTTTTGGCTAAGACATTAAAAGCCTGTTAAAGAAACCTGTTAAAGAAACAGCTGATAAGATTTTGGTAGACATGTAGAGTAAGCAAGTGTGCAAATACTCTCTCAGATTTCCAGAAGAGATTCTAGGTCACACTCCTCCATTGCATATTCAAAAAAAAAAAAAAAAAAAAAAAAGCCAAGATTAAAGCCTGCAGCTTACCCTATCTAGGCACCCTTTACACTACAATAAACCAAACCTGTAGTTCATCAGGACTGCTAGATTCTGACATTGAGTGCAGCAGACTGAAAATCCTGCTGCAGCTCAACTGGAACTAGGTACATCTTTAACATAAGGCGAATGACACAGGCTTGACACAATGCACCAATGTTATGTTGATGGTGAATTCAAGCCACGATGCAATGCTTTTGCCTGTTGGGCTTTCAGTATGCCCCAGATTTCAACGCTGACAGTTTGTGACTGTTTCCTGGAATTCAACCAGGAGATGATGCAAGAATTTCTTGCACTTTCAAAGGCAGCTCCCTACCCCCAAAGAAGCACATTTACCAGTTGCTGTTTCCAAAGCAGCCAACATCCAAACAGCTGATAATGGCAACACTGCTACCATCACCCTTACGTACAGCATTAACATCCTGTGGGGAGGAGCTCTCACAGGCACAGTTGTTTGCAGACTTGGCCATTTTACTGCCTTGAGCTATAGCGACCAGAATTTTCACAGCTACACACATTTATTTTTAAAAAAGTTTACACTCCGCGCAGCAGCCACTGTGCTGCCTGCTTCTGCTCTGTTACTGTCTTTATCATAGTCCAAGGGACATCAGCTCAAGGGCAAGCAGAGCAGGTCTGCACAGAGATAAGTTATTAGGTGCAGCTCTTGTGGTAAGAAGAAGTAGGGATTCAAGAAGGAGTTGTCCCATATGGACTTAACATATCCAAGACTGAGCAAGAGTAACACAGCATGTGGATGAGCACACAAAGCCCCGCTCTGAGCAAGGAATAACCCCATTCCCTCTGTTTTCCGAGTTCTTATGTCTGTAGCAGGTCTCCTTTTCTCCTATTCACACCCGCAAGAAAGTAGCCTTGCTTGGTTATGTGTCACATGTCATTCACCCTTGTCACTGCTATGCTACTGTAAAAAAACCTCAGTGGACAGTCACAGGGACGAGATTACCATCCAACCTTGGAAGAAGTTTGCTCCTCTGCAAGCAGAATGTCAGCATTGCTCAGTGGAAGAGGAAAGAAGAGGAAGAGAAAAGCAAAAACATGTAACAGTTCAAACCGCTTCTATTTCTCTTCTAGTAGCAGGAAAACGGCTTGTTGTGTCAAACTTGGCAAAGGAGACAGCTGAAAAATGGAGTCCTGACAGCATACTGCTAAAGTCTTTGCTGCCAGCATCTCTAAAGAGAGCCTAGACACCCCATTAATACTGATTCAGACATCCGTTTCTCCTAGGATATGGAGAGAGACCACCAAGCCACCCACACCCCAACACTGCCACATGCATTAAGTGATGCAAGGTTGTCCTATACCTGCATTAAGCTGAGACAGGAGCACTTAAGACAGTGACAAGGAAGTGTTTTCCAGAGTTCCTTTGTGAACTCTTCAAATCATGACATACCTGTCCAAGTAGTTGACTATGTTGGGGTTTTTGTTTTCCCTCATCACAAGGATTTCATTAATAATCAGTTCTTTTTTGGGCTGCTGCTGCAAATTCATCTGTTTGATTGCAACCTGCAGTGAAGAAAGATCAAGTAAAGTATTGTTACAGGAGTCCCCTAGAAACCTGCCAGTACCATCATTGATTATTTTAGTCCCACATTCACGTGAAGCAGGAAAACACTTTTTCATCATGGGCTGCTCAACCATTTAGTAACTCTGCAAGTTCCTGCAGCCAGTCCATTTCCACCCATGTTGGAGGATACTTAATGACAAAAAGGACAAGAGGAATTACTGTTTTCATACTAGGCCTTTATGTCACAGTTGGATAGCCATCTCCATCTACAGCTTCTTGGTAACAAGGAAAAGATCCCCTTACTGTAGTATGGACTGATATGTCAAAAAGTTTTTATTTCTTAAAAGATTCTTATTAATTTTACTTTGGATTGGAAATTTCTGCAAGTTTTTTTAGTGTTTTTTTCCTGCTCCTGCATGAATTTCTGCTTCTAGAAATCTACAGCAGGGCAGCAATGCACGGAGGGGGTAAATAACGCAGCCTCAGATTAGTACTTTGAGATAGTAATTCTATTTCTTTCTGTCATAGCAAGACCTGGGGGAAAGAAGCACCAGTGTTTAGATAAAGGGCTGAAAATAAGTGAATTGGATTCAGCTTTATCCCCTGAAGGGCAAGAGGGATGGATTTGTCAGTTGTAGCCCTTTGGCTTAGTAACTTTCTGCCTTCTGCAGAATCCCTATTCTGCATAAACACATGCAGAAAGCAGGAGGTTACAACATGTTTTTAACTCGTGTTCAACTCTCTGCACTACCAGTACTTCGTGAGAGCACCTGGTCCTCAGACAAGCCTTCAAATCAGTAAGACTACTCAGCACAGCAGGAGGTAGAAACACTTCCATAGACGTTACAACCCAACTGTATTTGGTGCAATATTTAGGCAAAGAGAATGAAATGTAATTATGCCTTTACAAAACTGCTACTTGCAGAGAAGGAGACCTAGACAAATGGAGGGGAGCTAGTAACGCCAGCTCACAAAAGCAAGGATTAAAAGAAACAAGCCACAGAGTGCCAATATAGATGGATACAATTAGCATTTTGATAGCATAACAGGGGAGACCATAGAAAAATCCCAACACATGAGAAGGCAAGAACAGACAGACAGACACCATGCTGCTTTTTCACAGTATTCACGACGGCTGCCAAACAGTACTTAAAGACGACAAAAATCAAAAAACCCATGCCGCTCTTTGCACAAGAACAGAGCGGAGCATGAAAGATGAAGAAGAAAGGGAAGGCATTTGATGCCAATAAAAAAAACCCAGACTAATACTGAGGGAGCTTCAGGGAGGCTCCTGTACTTCCTCACTCCTCTTCAGAAGTAGACCCATGGTCCAGGTACATACAGGGGCATTTTCCTTATCCAAGACTGTCCCGTGCATTGGGATACCAAATAAGCAGCTGTAGTTATACTAGACAGCCATCATCAGTGAAAACCTTCAGTATTCTTAACCCTGGGAGCTGCCCAAGGCCCCTGTATAGTGCAAAATAAAGGAGTTTCCTTCCAGTGCTTCCAAAAAATGTGTTGCCGTTCGCAGAGCTCCTGAGCTCAAAGGATTGGTAGCAGCACGCTTCACAGAAAAGAACGGGTCAACAGCATGCCAAGGTTATGGCAATCCCAAATGCAAATTTAAAAACCCATGGCATGATCACACTAGTGTAACGGGAATGATTTAAAAGTCTGTTGTAATATAAGACTTCAAATATTCACATGGGAGTCACCAAAGGGGTCCAGAAAGAAAGCAGAAAACCAGAAAGAAAGCAAAAAACGGGAGTTCCTCCTGCTATAAAATTTCTCATTGCTTCAAAATAAATGCAACACTCCTTCCTCAGAGGCTGCAATTCAACTGTATTAATTCTTCAGGAACTGGAAAAGGGGGTGAAGGAGTTTCAGCAAAAAGTACAATTACAAAAGCTACTGGTGGATAGCCCTGACATTGTACAAATGCAAAGTAGACACGCGTTGCTGCAGGTTTCCATAAATATATCTGGAATAACGTATACACTTTTCTCTCTAAAAATCCTCCGTCTACCAATAATGGTTTCCACAGACGCTGCGTACCCATCACTACTAGTTTATTATGCATGCATGCAATAGGCAAGGCACTTCCCCATATTCGGGAGGAGGGATGGGGGACGACATCAACAAAATCAGACATTCCTTGACTCTCAATTCAAGGGCAGAAAGCAAGTGGGCAACGGGTAGGAGAGGAACTATTTCTATGCAAGTCAACTAGTATAAGTGTAAGAAGCAAAGGAGGAGAAGGCATATAAAAGAGTTTAAATGGGGACAGGCAGGAATCTTGGGAATGAAGAGATAAACTTCTACCAAGGAACTATCCAGTCTGAATATTTGCTTCTGGCCTTTGTGGTCACAGAAAGATTCTTTACAAATACGAAATGATTCAGGAATCAAAACTTGGGAAATCATTTTTTCCAGTTCTCTGCTCAAACCACTCGACCATGCCTCATTAGCAAGTAAATAAATACCTCATTAAAAATAAGATGTCATGAACCTCTGAAATACCATCTTTATTTTGTAGCATCAACTTGAACTTTTAGGACACAATCCAAAATCCACTGCTGTGGTATTCTGGCAGCACTTACCTCCTGTCCTGTAGCTACATCCATTGCCGTGTAAACTGTACCTGAGGCTCTAAACAAAAGAGAGAAAAGAAAAAAAATCCACTTATTAGTGCCTCATAGCAAGACTGAGAGCTTAACACATGCCCCTTCCCACTTGTCTCTTTGAAGTGCTCTCAGTCCCATTCCTTTTCATGCAGTAACTCCAGTGGTAAATATAACCTGAAATATTTCTGAGCCAAGACTGCTGCTGGAGCAGAAGCCAGAGAATTTATGGGGAACAAAGCTCCTAATAAGGGACACTATGGTCATCCAAACCCTTGCTGCTAAACCAGCAGCTTAGCACAGCTTGTAGGACTGTGAGCTGATCCCGTTTAAATTGGCATGACTGCACTGCCCCAGCTTGCAGATTGCCCAACAGGATTACAGAGCAGATAGGATCAGCTAAAGTAAACAAATGTGGCATTTGTAGTGAGGGAAACAGGAGTTTGAGCCTCAGCACACGGAGCTGACAGCAGATCTCAGTTATTTGCACCGATTTGCCTCACTACAGCTTCTCCCACAACCCCTACTTTCCCCCTATCCTGCTAAGAAGGGCACAACACCCACATCGAGGAGAGTTGATTCAGAAAGCAAATCTGTAATTTGAAGATTGTCTTGCATGATGAAAATAAGCAGTTCCTTCCTTGCTTGCAGATATATTTAGCAACCTGATCATCTAATGACATATTTTCTTATATTAAAACACAATTGCACAAAAAAAACCCCTGGTCCCTGTGACTCAAGACTGCCAGGAAAAGGAGAAGAGTTGGGGGAGTGGAACTCACCAAAACCTCCAAAAAATACAAAAGAAAAAGAAAATAAAAAAACAACCAAACAAAATAAACTCTCCAAAGCATCACCAACTGTTTTTCCAGCAAACTAACTTAGCTTGGTTTCAGTGTTTCCTTCTTAGCATAAGAAAAGGTATAGGACAGAGAAGGAGTATATACTAACCCTTGTCCAATCTTCTCAAAACATGTGTACTTCTTTTTTGGATCGCCCACACTCACAATACTTCCTACAAAAAAAAAAAAACAAAGAGGATTTTATAAGTACTTTTTCATACAGCTGTAAGAACCAACTGTACTTTAAGAGGAGCCCCATGGCCACAGCAGGCTCTGCTGAGCCTCATGAACCACTTGCCAGAAATCCACAAACACCACAATCCTTAGTTATTTACACATGTACCTGTGGCATTCCCCTCTCACAGGTATTTCCCTTCAGAAATGGTGGAATACAGACATTAAGCACATTTAACCTTCCCTAGCAGCTGGTTACTGCTCACTGCTAGGCACAGGATGGGGATATATGGCCATCAAACATGTAAATATAATTATTTGCTAGAAACCTGCAATTTAAATTCACCCCCAGCTTCAATACACTGGATGATCCAAGATGTCCCTGCACTGAAACATCCTCTGAATTTGAAGGTCAGCGCCTCACTCATCTTGCAGCCAACAGCCAGTTGCAAATCTTGCCAAAG